AGTAAGCTGTTTGATTTCTTAGGTCCCAGATGCATTTGGTTACTGAAGCTCTCCAAGGATGAAAACAAAAAGTAAACAAGAATTAGGAAAAGTAGCCCTATTTTTATAATAGCATATATAAATATGTGCTTTAAATATACACATAATCAAATCAGTAAATTTTTGAAAATTTGATTTTGAATAATGTTACAATCAAAAGAATGGAAGTTTTAAAGACTTACTAGAGTACTCTGTATGATATGAAAATGAGGAAATGTGACAGTTCAGTGGATTTTGACAATAAACAATAGAAAAGGAATTCTTTCTCTAAAGACTTGAAAAATGATATTGAATCAGTGACAAATTCAATCATTTTGTGATTTTAATTAATAAGCTTTATTTCTGTTAGTGTATAAATCCTTTTTGTTAGTGTATAAATCCTTTCTGTTAGTGTATAAATTCCTTTTTGTTAGTGTATAAATCCTTTCTGGTCAGGATTCAACTCCTATTTATGTTGAAGTAACAGTTTAGGCCTATTGTTTATCAGGAGCCACAGAGTTTTGCTGCATTGTTGGATTAAGAGTCTTGTGTCAATTTATATAAGTATAATTTCAAGTAGAAAAAGTATGCATATTAAACAAAGAAAGGAAGCGCATCTACTTTATGTTCCATATTCTTCTATATTTTACGTTTGTTATTTAACTGTTATTTGTATATGTACAGCTGACTATAAGTTTTGGAAGGTCATTTCAAACTGTAGTAAATATGTGCTCTGTGGCAAAGACTCAGGGACCATAATATGCTCAATTTACAATTAAAAGTTTACTTTATTTCTAGAGTCCTTGATCAGATGGAATTAACTGAAACTGCAGAGAAGAAAGTGAATATAAGATTGAAATTTGCAAGTGCTACTATCAGGAAGTTACTATAACATGGTAGGTACTTTACAAATATCCATTAGGTAAACCCGTTGCATAATCAAGGTGAAACACTATAATTGTATAATAAATTGTGTCAGTTTCAATTGATAAAATTATATTTTATGTGGCATAATAATTTAAAAATTATAGCCATCAAATATCCGTCTATAAATATGTATAACTTTCTCACAATTTAAAATTAAAATTTTACAACCAGTTAAGAATTGGTGTCCTATTTGCACTTTAAAACACCTCTCTTTAAAAAGTTGCTAATCTTTTTATACTTTTCTAAGTAATTGGCCATCAAAGGGTTTTAAAATGTAAATCTCAACTTCTTGACATTCAACATCATAAAATGACACACACCATAACTTCAGATTGAAAGGTTCATATGGATTTTGAAGAATGAAATATATCACTTAAAGTATAATTTGCAGAAGGTATGAGATAGTAAAGGTAGAAGGCTGCTTGATTAAGCACTCATTTCATACTAAAAAGGAAGCTGGCAATGGGTCAGCTTCTGGCAACTCAAGTAAGACTTCAACCCCATTAGCAGTTCAGTTACGCATCTCAGATCCCAGACATTTCTCAGGGCAACACTCATACACTAGAATAACTGCAAGTAAAAATAACTTATGTCACTGGGCCTGATTTTGCAACCTGCTTAGGAAAACAAATCCTGAAATCCTTTACGAACCAAAATAAAGGTGTCTTTTACCATCCTAAAGAGTGAGAATTTAAATGCTATTCCTCCAAGAACTTTTTATATGCTTCTTATTGCAAGAAACAGAACTTGGTTAGAACATCCCTGAATTTATGAAGGCTCTTCTATGTAAGATATAGTTTTATATAGCATCTTCCATTTTGATCCATACTGAGCATTTATGAATGAAGATTTCAGGTCATTGAAATGAATAGAGGCTTTTTTATCACTTCACAAGTGAAATTATGGATACCAAAGGAGATGAGAGTTCTCCTAAGACAATAAATGATATACAAACACTCCTTGACTAGCTAATGTTTTCCAGATATTCTCTTAGATCATAAATTTATTACTTTTAATAAATCATTGAAGCCATTATGTACCAGATATTATTGGAGGGGCAGAGGATACAATGCTAAGAAAAGTGCAAATATTGCATTAACAGGGAAAATATTAAATGGCAGAAAATAAATAATTTTTACAATCAACATTTGATAATTATTTATAGAAGTACAGGTTTTCCAGGAATACCCAGGAAGAACACTGAGATTGATCTGAAGGGGGTGTCGGGGGCTTTCTGTAATAAAATTATATAGACACTGAATTTGAAAAGTAAGTAGAAAATTGTTTAAGACAGTGAAAAATCACATATTTGAGGAGTAAGAAGAAAGATCATGGCGAATTAAAGTGTTCTAAAAAATTTCATAAACATGTATGAAGATAGGAGAGATCAGACTTTATAAAAGCATAGGGAAATGATATTTTATTTCATGTTTATATACTGACTAATAGACAGTGTTTATCTCCTATCTTAGGATTACCATAGCTTACTGTGTGCTTTCTGATAATACAGGAAAAAAAATCTCCTTTATATTAATCAATTAATAATGGACAATTAAATGGTACAAAAGATATATATGTATATAAATACACACATACATATATATTTACTAATCAAACTATAATATCTATTAAACACCTAGATTTTTGTACCTTTGGCTCTATTTTTCTTTAGTAAATTTCACAGCTTATAGTTCTTGGTCAGATTTTATGGCTAAATATTTTCTACAAAAATTAGAATTAGTATTTGTGATATTTTTATTCTCTATTTGCTCCCCAGAGAATATTAGGAAGACTTTGGAGATAGCTTAGAAGCTTTGCTGATTTTATGTGACAGTGGATACTACCAGATGTGGTTTCCAGCGTTTCTTAGCTATTGCACCTTTTCAATCATTCATGCTACGCTTCATGACATATGCCACCCTCTCACTTCCCTCTCAGCTTTAAGCCAGTCCTTAGGGGGAGATTTACACTGGGAAAATAAATGACCTCTTTTCTCCCTTTAGGTGGAATGCCTCCTTTTTACCCCCAAAACATTTGACAATGATGACCCTGATTTTATCTTCTTTATTTCTCAGTTTGGATATTGAACGTCATCCCTTTTAATGGAAAAAAGTGGGTAGCTCTGTGTACATGTGTAGCACTGGTGATATTATTCTGATAACATTACTTGTCTCTATCAAATTGGCATCAGATCATCTTGGTGATTGAGGATGTTTGAGGCATGAAGAATAACAATCCAGCTCCTTGCTTTCCTCAAAAGCAGATTTTGAAAGAAGGACTTAGTATTTTTTGAGACCTGATTCTAAGAAGTACAAATGAGAAAATAGATAAAGAGCAACAAATACATGTCATCACTATACCTTCAAACTTACTGAATTTCATTCATGCCTAAAATAATTTAGCTAACATATATTATATATATAATTCAGATTAAGTTCAATAAATAGTGGCATAAATATATTTGTTTTTCTTCCCAAATCGCCACTCAAGGAATACGCATTTTAAAAGTTAACAAAGGAAGATGTTAACTCATATGGAATGTTCGTAATTTGAAGTCAGCATGCATTTGAAACTCTGCCAAAGTTCCTAGCTTTGATTTGAAGAAAACTAAGGCAACAAAAACAAATGCATCTCTTATCAAGTCCTGAAAAAATATGTCTCCTAATTTTCATTTTTCTCAATCAACTGCTAAATACACTCATTTTCATCTCCTTGATTAGATGGTGTAGTGACTGATTACTGGATTTAATGGTTCTTTTTAACGAAACATTGTTATTTGCTTTTCTATGATTACCTTAAAACACCACATATTACCCATTAGTTTTTTTCCTATTTTTTTGCCCACATTGTTAGTTCTCTTACTCATTTCCAAATTCTTCATTATAAATTATAGCTCTACTTTCTAAGTGACTGACCCATTCAAGTTTTCCAAATAGTCCAATGTTCAGCATTTGCCCAGCATTTTCTTAAATTTATGTCAAATCCAGCTTGGGCCCTAACCTCTATTAATAGTTTGAAGCAATAATAGAATAATAGAGGGATACCAACTTTTCCTAAAGTAACTTAAATAAATACATACATACATACATATATATATATACATACACACACACACACAAATTTTTCCCTGATATGAATATTTTTTTATTTATGGTAATATTAGTACATTACATTTTAAAAATAATATTTGTATAAAGTCTTGTAAAGTAGATAGAATTAATATTCTTTTTTTTCACAAGAAAATGCAGGGCTTTCTCACTGAATTAGATCTCCACTTCTTTTTATATTTACTTTTGAGACAGTGCCTTGCAGGATAGTACATCGCCCAGACTGGTCTTGCGCTAGTAATCCTCCTGCCTCATCTTCCTAGAAAGCTGGGAAGAAATTTTAATATGTATATATTCATGAAATTATCAGCACACATAAAATAATGAACATATTTGTTTCCTGCCAAAATTGTAATTGCCCTGTCTCTTTTCACAGTAGTATCATTAGTGTAGTTTTAATTTTGTTTGTTTTTGGCTTTTCTCCGGTACCGGGAACCGAACTCACGACCTTGCACTTGCCAGGCAGGCGCTTTGCCGCTGAGCTAAATCCCCAGCCCCCATTAATGTAGTTTTAAATATTCGTCCATCTTGCCATTTGTTTTCTATTTTTCCCTTTTCATATAGCTCCTTTTCTTCTTTATGCCTGCTTATGTGTTTATCATACTTTTATTATTCAATTTAAATTCCTCTTTTGTATTATTATGTGGCAGTTTAAAATAATGTCCACAATTTATTTCAAGAGATGAAGGTTATGGCACTTGTCTGGATTTTATCAAGCTTAGAGATTTCCCTATGGTCAATAGAATACAGCTCTTATGACAGTATTTAAATTTCTTAGCTGAAGCACCAATCAAATGCCATTATCTATTGCTGCCAGTAGATGGCACCACGTTGGCCTCCAGGCCAGAGCCCTTCTAGCATTTCCGAACTTCTCTGTTCCCCTCGGGTATCCCTCTGGTTTCTATGGTAAAACTTCCGGGATCAACAGGAAATAACGGCAAGCGAGTAGCAAACCGTCTTGTGTTTGTCTATCTAGGTACTTCGTATTTTATTCTTAGTTTGGAAACAAAATTGTGCTGAATTGCGTTTACAGTTTCTTTGTTTTCTTCCTTTCAGCATTGAAAACATCCTGATCTATCTTGATTTTTTTGGTGAATTCCGTTGGGAAGGCAGCCATTTTCAAACAACCCATCCGGAAAGGTAATTTGTCTTTACTTTTCAGAGGGTTTTGATTTTGCTGATATTGTTTATATTTGATATAGACTTTTTTGGGGCGGGGGAGACAGTGTTTCTCTATGTTGTTCAGGCTGCCTTGAACTCGTTGTGAAACCCAGGCTGGCCTCGAACTGAAGGCGATCTTCCTGCCTCAGCCTCCCGAATGAGTGCTGGGATTACAGGCCTGCGCCTGCACACCCAGCAAATTTTAAATTTTCAATAGCTGGTCGGGTGTGGTGGCGCACTCCTCACTCCTCTAATCACAAGTACTGGGGATGCTGAAGCAAGAGGGTTGCCGGCTTATGCAAACCTGACCAACTTAATGAGACTTGTCTTAAAAAGGGAGTAGGGAACTGGGACTTAGACTAATGGTTGAGCGTGAGCGGAGGCTGTGGGTTGTTTATGTATGCATGAAAAGTTTAAATACATTCCCGGGAAAAACAGAATTACTAGTTGTTATTATAATCGTTTATCTGGTGCTAATGTTGAAGAGGATAAGCCTTTTAGAGAAAATGCTTGTTTAAAAAAATAAAGTGTACGGCCGTGGTGTAACTCAGTGGCACAGCGCAAGCCTGGCAAGTGCGAGGTCCTGTTCGATTCCCTGTTTGATAGTGTGTTATGAAATATACTCTTTGACAGATGATCTTGATAAAATGCGTATGTGACATACAACATTAATTGACAGTTAGTATAAAGTATATGGTTAATAGAAATTAAAGATCACTTTTATCCAGTGATATCAGATTTGGGAAGGAGCATGAAATGATTCTGTTTTTGGAAATTAATTTGGTAGTTTTAAATAATATTTTGAAATTTCCTACCCTTTTTCATAGTGATTGCCTTTCTGTGATTGTATTTGACAGTGCTTCTTGGTTGTCTAAGTATATAGTATATAAAATGCAACTATTTTTAATAGAATATACTATGCTTATTCTCTAAATACTATGCATACAGTTTTTTATACCCAGTCGGGTATATCTTTAATAATTATAGAAGATATTCTGAAGACAGACTGTTAGTAAAAAAAAAAGCAAATTATAATTTATTCATGTGTTCAGATGTACATTTATATTATTAATATTACTAATACATTTTTGTTAAGTTACGTGTAGTTTACACTGTGTGTACACCTTATTTGTAATTAATCAAGGAAAATACAGATCACATGACATCATATTATTAATTCGTTTGAACGATCTTTTGTTTTTCTAGATAGTATAGTCCAACTAAGAAGTTGTATATTTAAATCCAGAATTAAAACAGTTAAAAAAGAAATAATAAAAATGTAGAAATTAATTTATGGAGAGAAATAATTTAATTCAGTTGTGAATCATTTATAAGAAGTTGACCTCTAATTAGTCATTGAAGTCCTTAAATTGGAGGCCATAAGAAAAATTGCACAAAGAATGATCTTTTTATTGTTTAGTAAGATTAAATGTCAAGTGTAAGCTAGAGTTCATCTATTCTTAATGACCCTCTATTGTGATGATATCAGAAAAAAGTGACAACAAAGATTAGGGTTAAAATCATTTGAACTTTTATCTTAGTAGCATTTTGGGGGAAATTTGAAATTAAAACCTTGTTGTTTAAGATTTTACATCTTATGGTGTGTATAAAACGTTTAAAGAGAATTGTAGTTGTCAGAAAAGTGTGCTTATGCTGGAGATACAGCTCAGAGGCACAGCACCTGCCTGGCAAGTGCAAGGTTCTGAGTTCGATTCCCAATACCAAAAAAAGAAAAAAGAAAGAAAAGAAAAATGTGTTCAGGGATTTAACTGTCTGGAATCCAGCACTCTTAAGTAAAGCAATGATCAATTCTTATATCTGCAGACCACTTTCAAATATTCTGGAAACGTAAACATGATTTGTTAAAAATCATTATAGTTAGTATGCTCAATCATTAAGACCTTATTCTTGGATTCAACCCCATTTATTTATCTCTGAATAAAGGTCAATTCATTTCTTCATTTCTAATCATTATGCATTTTTTTACATTTCCCTGTCGTGGCTATAAACTCCATAAAATACTGAATAGAAATGGTAATAGTAGGTGTTCTTATCTCAATCCTGGTGTCAGGATGTGGTTCTGAATTTTGCAGCACTGATTATGATAGTTGCTAGAGTTTCTGAGATTTTAAAAGAATGAAAACTGGATAGTGGGCCAGGGATATAGCTTAGTGGCACAGCACCTGCCTGGCAAGTGTGAGGCAAGTGCCCGAGTTCGATTCCCAGTTCAAAAAAAAATTGGATATTAAATTTACCAAATGGTTCTCTGTATTTCATAATGATATGGTTTTTGTCTTTTATTTTGTTGAAAATGATTATATATTAAGACCTTATTCTTGGATTAAACCCAGTTTATTCATGGGATATTTTATTTGAAAGTGTCTTTGGATTGATTCCAATTGTTCAAGCATAAGGATTGTTTTTCTCATTTCTTCATGGTGCATATCTACCATTGATTTCCTTTATTAAAATGGCCTTATGAGTTCATTGTAAAGTTCATATGGAATCTTACTTAGCAGTTGTAGAAGTGGGCTTTCTGTGTTTTGTCCTGTGGACCAGGTTCTACATGACTGGTATTTCTTACTGAAATTTATGGAAAAAATTTTAGAATCAAGCGTTACAAAATGGAAACTTTGCAGAAAATGTTTTTATTATGAAATTAATTAAAATGTGCAGGATACTTGAGATTTTTTGAATGTCATGTTGTTGAGCTGCTTCTAGAATGTTATTATTTTATATCACTTCAAATTTTAAGCTTTCTTTTCAATGGAATTGATAATGTATGTCTTTTTTTATTTGTTGTTAATTTTGCTGGGATTTATAATGTTTATAACTTAGAAAAAACTACTAAAGCAAGTTTCAGATTTGTTGATATTAATTTTTCCTGAGTGTCATTAACTGATCCTAATTGTTTTATTTTGATTACTCCTATAGTTTAAATAGACCATTATGTTTCCAGATTTTGATGTGGATTATCTGATCTTTAATTTTCAGGACTTATTCTTTTGGTTTTATGAGTGCTAAAAGAAGTAGATTTGCAGTAAGATTTCTTCACACACTTTCACATTTCTCCCTTTTTAGTACTTCATAAACTCTTCTACATTTCCCATGGTATTACTTTTTTATATAATTTTTGTGTTCACATGCATTTTCATGTATTTCATGATAAATGTCAAGGAATGGAATGACCAGTTCACATTCTTTATATGTTTAAGATCATTTTTAGAAAATTTCAAAGTGTTTGTAATGTAATTATGTAATATTATACCCTAATATAAGTGTACGAGTAGCATAGTTGTTGTGCATCTTAGCAGCAGTTGGTAAGGTTAACTTTTTTTTTTTTGGGTAGCAGAACTCGAACTCAGGACTTGCGCTTGTCAGCCAGGTGCTGTGCCACTGAGCTATATTCCCTGTCTTAAGGTTAATATTTTTAACTGTAAGCTTCTAACTGATGTGTAGTGGGATCTCAGTGCCATTCTAACTTGAAGGAGTGTGTGAAATCAAATCATTATTCTTTCTGTCTCAGATACCCTCAGTAAATGAAGAAAATGATTTACTTTTCTGATGCTGATCTTTTCCTTCCCATTTTATTTTGCGTATATGGTTATTTTTTATGACATGCAGAAATTTATATCTGAAGTACTGTAAAAGTAATTGGTGCTTGAGTGTGTTTTTATTTTTCTCTAGGGAACATTTTCTTTTGCTTTAGGGATTCAATTTGGGTAGATACAGTTGATAGCATTATAAAATTATTTGTTGTGTCTTTGGAAATTGGGCTCAGCTTTTGAAATTAGTTTTGTACTTAAGGTTTATACTGATAGACAATAGCCCCTCTAATGATGTAAAATTCATCCCTGGGTTGTTGTGTTTGTTTGGTTGATTTCTGCTTGTGGTTTTTGTTTGTCTGTTTTATTTTTTTTATTTTTTTATTTTTTTGAGACAAGGCCTCACTATATGTAATTCAGGTTGGCCTTGAGCTCATTAGGTAGCTGAGGCTGGCCTTGAACTCTAGGGGTTCCTCCTGATTCAGCCTCCTGAGTGCTGGGATTACAGGGGTGTGTCACCATGTCTGGCTACCCAGGGCTTATTTTTTGAGATCCTTTCTGCTACAGTGGGCCCTAAACTGTGTCTGTATCTCCTAAGCCGGTGAGAGTGTGGAATTCCAGCCAAGCTGAATAGTTTTTCAGCTGCACTTTTTCCCTAAGCATTTTTGGTTTTCAGTCATCTTTGAATTAGCAAAACGTTTGCAAGGTGACAGGAAGTGCTAATATTGGGGCTTATCCCTTGGACTTCACTTCTAACACTTCTGTTCTCTTCAAATCCTTGCTTCCTTGGCTTTCTGGTACCTTCAAACAATGTGTTTAATATTTTAAAACCAGTTTTTCTCTGTGTAATGGCTGAGCGGAATTGGCTACTTTATCCTAACTGGAAGCACATCTCTGCACATAACTATGTTTTGAATTATGTGTTAGTTTTGATTTGCCTCCTCTAGTTGGTTGATATTTTTTGTCAATACACTTAAAGCATCTTGTAAGCAAATAAACTTCCTGAGGAATAGATTTTTCTTCTGTCATCCTTTGTGTACTGTAACCTGATTATTTTATTGACTGCCTAAATAATTTCTTTTGGTCTTTTTGAGACAGGGTCTCACTATGCAGTTCAGGCTGGCCTTGAGCTCACTTTGTAGCCCAGGCTGGTCTCGAACTTGCAACGATCCTCCTGCCTCAGCCTCCCGAGTGCTGTTGACTGCCTAAATAATTGTTTTATTTTTTGCATGTGCTAGGTATGCACATAGGTGTTTTCTTGTTTGTTTTTTTTTTGGTACCGAAAATCGAACTCAGGACCTTGCACTTGCCAGGCAGGCTCTTGTGCTGCTGAGCTATATCCCCGGCCCACATAGGTGTATTCTTGAGGTAGAGCTTTTTATGAGTCCATTTACCATTGCAATAATGAAATATTTGAGTCTGGGTACTTTATGAAGGGAAAAATTTTATTAGCTTCTAGTTTTAGAGACTGATTAGGTGGTCTCATGAATTTCTTCTCTGGTGGTGGCATAATGGTTGATGACCTCTTGGCAGGGGCCTGTATGAGGAGGAGAGATCGCATGGTAAGATACAAATCCGCACCTCTTAAAGGTTCCACAACAACTTGCAGCACTCCCATTCCTGGACCAAGCTTCTAACACATAAGTTGTTAGCAACCCTGTCAAGCTGTATTTAAACCACAGCAAGCCTAACGGAAAACTGGTAAGTAAATGTGGAGTATATTACAGAAGCTAAGTTTTGTAGTAATTTTTTTTCTTTTTTTGAGACAAGGTCTCACTATGTAGTTCAGGTTGGCCTTGCACACCTTATATAGCCTTGACTGACCTCAAATTTATGGCAATCCTCCTGTCTCACCCTCCCAAGTGCTGGGATTATGGGCATGCACCACCATGTCTGACTGTAGTAACTTTTTATACTGCCATAATAGCTAAAATTTTACCTACACTTATATACCTTATGTTTACTGGTTTCTCTAGGGCAGTGATGGTGAACCTTTTAGAACTTTCAGTGATACAAACAGCTTCCTGAGGCATGTGTGCCATGGGTTCACCATCACAGCTCTCGGGGTTGGCATATGGATCTTTTACTTATCTTAGTCTACTAATTGTTAAAGTAGTGTTGCTTTATGTATATGAAACTTTGTAACAAGATAAATGCATTCATTTTCCCTTTTTCTTCTCAAATATTTTGTATAAGTATATTTATTTGAAAGCAACTTCTATTGATTAAATCTAATTCATTTTCCCATTAATTGTCTTAAATTAGGTATATTTTTGTCTAATTACAAAAAAACTTAAGCTTAAAATTTGATAAATTTTGTAAATTATGTATTTTACATCTAAAATATCATATTTCATTCAGAGACTCAGAGTTTTGAAAATAATAGGAAAAAAGTAATCCTGTTTATTTATCCACATTTCCCAATTCACTGCCCTCTTCCATTCAGCTGGATTTTCATCAGGAGTTTTTTCCTCTTACGTCTGAAGAATTTCCTGTATGATAGTGTATTTCTATTGGGATGGGGAAAGATTTTCTTAAGTTTGTTTTTCTGTGTCTTTTCTTAGTCTAAGTTTGCAAAGATAATTTTTGGGTATAAAGAGTTTTGGGTTGATTGTTTTATTTTCTATGTCAGTATTAGAAAGTTGCTGGTCCATTTTAACATTTCTCCAAGGGATCTTTTGAAAATGCAAGCATCAGTTATCATTCTCAGTAGGTAATGTACTTTATTTTTCCTAAGAATCTCATGGGCATACAATTGTATACATGACTAATATTCTTTATATCTCATACAGATATTCAATATATAGCTTACAAACACGGTGCTTTAAAACTAATAGCTATTTTATCAACCCAGTGTTTTTCATTTATGTGAATAAAGAAAACTTTGGTAATAGCCTAAAATAAAGCAAAAGTAAAATAGAAAATGTTTTGCAAAAGTCAAAATATATAATTTTTATTTCTTAATCAAATATATATAAATATGTGCATACATTCATACGAGAAAATAAGCAGTGCACTTTCCCAAGCACATTATCAGGACAGTTTAATTGTTAATTTGATGCAAATTTTGACTTGCATGAAAAATTATATGATGACATAAAATTTTTATCAAGCACTAATGAAATGATACATACTAAAAGCAAAAAATTCTATATTTATAAGAGTTATGTAATATTCAGCAGCATTTAAGTGTGACAACTGCATTCTATATTTGAAATTATATAAATATAGTACATATTGGAATAAATTATTAGGCAATATATATGTGTGTAAAATACACATATATGTATAGGTATAAACTTAATATAGAACAATTTTGGTAATGCAGCTATTTATGAAATGATAGACTATTTAAGAAATAGATTATCCATCAGACAATTCTGAAAATAGATGGAAACCATCCAAATGAGAACAAGAACAATCTAGTTTTAGCTTGTAATAGCAAAGGATATGCCTGTTATCTTTTATTTTTGGCAAGGACACAGAGATAGTCAAAGAAATTGGAAAAATATATAGCAGGCAAAATGGAAGTCTTTGGGGTACCCTGATAGTAGGCTTTACTAGAAATGGATCTTTTATGTGATTGATTAGATGTCTGATTTCTTCCACTCAGTCCTAAGTTAGAAACGGGCCCAGATGAAGAATGTTGGCAGTTATTGATCAGGTCCTCGCTGCTCAAGGCTGGTACTGTAAAGCTAGTGGTTTGGCTTCATAGGCTTATTGCTGCATAGGCTATTGTTATCTATGGTCTGTTCACTTTTGGTTTGTATATCAATTCTTATGGTACACACAAAAACAAATATATTTAGCAAGTTAATATATTTAATGTGATTGGTAATTATGACATTTTGCATAAATAACAAGCTGTTCTCGTGATATGAAGTTATAGAGAGTGAAAAAATGGTACTCAGTTTTTTGAAATTAAATTTGCATTTTTAAACAAATTTTTAAAATTTCTTCCCATTTCTAAACAGTAATTTTCCTTCTGGGAGTATTGTCAACAAAGCAATATACATATTCACAAATATGTATAAAAGTTTGCTTAAAAATGATAATAGGTCTGTTAAGTAAATTTTATTATGTTCATATAATGAGACTAGTTCTTACATACTTGCAAAGCTTATGTTCAATTCAGATTATTGGTGAAGAAAAAATTTTATTTCACACGCATGTGTACGTATATCAATACATCTTTGTTTCTTCCTAGCAAAACGTATATCAATACATCATATATATCAGTGAATATGTGTATATTCATATAAACACTTCTCGGATAATCATGTTTACCTCTGTGAAATGATATGATCTATAGTTTTAGAAATTTGACACCGTGTACCTGTCAAAATTTTAATTGGAAGAAAATCAGTCACATGAAGGATTATCACTAATGATGCTAGTTTGAAATCTTTCCCTTTTTAAGTGCAGAACAGAAGATGTATGGTGCTTAGAAACAGCTAGAAATGAAACAGGAAAACAATCAAAAAAATATATGCAAGTTTTGTGGAAAGAAAATGTAATAGTGATCTACCTAAAGGAGGGGATCTCTGGTTGGTAAATTAGATCAATAAAGTAGAGGCCATAAGTGAACTTATCACCAGGATTTCTCTTTTTATTTTCCCTTGAGTAAAATGCTGTTTTATTATCACATTTATTTTATATTCTAGAACATCTATTAATATAATACCAGAAAAAGTGACAATAGTCAGGGTTATAGTTATCTCAAAGATTATCTGTTGAGTATGCTGGAAAAGCCTTACTATATATAACCTTGTTCTATAGGATTTTTGTTCCATTTCTTCAAATGTGCCTAAAATGTTCAGTAAGAATTTCTATTTTCCAACCAATGTGTTTAGTTTAATTGAGTGATATCCATAAATCTTGATAAATTCACTTATCAATTGTAATATATTACCTGGGAGTTGCTTTTGGATAGTCTGCAAACATAGATATGCAGTCTGTGAATAAAAGTGGCTTAATTTATTTCTTTCCAACCTTATCCCCTTGTTTCTTTTTCTTAGTTTATTGCCCTGGCTATGATCTCCAAAGCGTATTGAATACATCTGGTGGTAGATAGGCATTCTTAATCTCTTTTCTAACCTCAGATGGAGGGAAAGGTTTTTAATAATTCACCAGTAGATGAGGTATTTGCTGCAGTTCCCTGAGTTTTAAAAAGAATTATAAATCAGTAGTAAATTGTGTCAAGTGATTTGTTTTATGTGATAGTGATGTGATTTTACTCATTTGTTGACTATAGTGGTTTGATATTAAAAATGCTAAGGCAAAAATTCTTTCTTGGATGAAACATTGTGTTCATGCAGTATTAGATATGAAGTTAACCTTTTTCTGTTTGTAAACATTTAACATTTTATTAATTTCTGTTATTTTTACGTGAGATGACAGTGATATTCTTTATGTACATTGCCCTTATCAGTTTGGTATGAATTTATAGGAGCCACCAATTATCCCTCAGGTGTTTCATACAGGAAATCAAGAATATAATTATATATATAAAATAGGGAACAGTTAGTTTCAGGCTTGTGATCCATAGTCTCCTTTTTTCTTTTTTTTTTTTTTAATCTTTTTGAGACGGGATCTCACCATGCAACTCAGGCTGGCCTTGAGCTCACTTTGTAGCTCAGGCTGATATTGAACTTTCAACGATCCTCCTGCCTCAGCCTCCTGGGTGCTGGGATTACAGGCATGCACCACCACGCCTGGCTCATATTCTCCGTTTACTGGAGATACCCGGGTCAGAAAAAGCTGTGACCATGCACTTTAGAGCGATAGTGACATATGAATGCACACTGATTAGAAGGTTGGTCTGAGTGATTTTATGTTCATTTTGAGATTTTTTTTTTGCTTCGAGAGGTATTCATCTCATCACCTCAGTCCTTTTGAAGCTGGATGTGGTGGTTTGTGAAGAATTTCCTATTTCTGGTTCATGTCAGCACTAAGGACATGGCCCATTGGGGTTACCGTGTCAAACTTGGCGTCCTTTTCTGGATCCTCTGTGCAGTGTGGGCCCTGAGCCCTGTCTGTGTCCCCTGCACTGATGAGGCTGCTGGAATCCTAGGTGAACTGTTTTCAATCGAAACTTTCATTTTTATTATTTATTTATTTTGTCTGTTTTTTATTTTATTGGCATATGCTTTAATTACATAAAAATTGCATTTATTTTGGAGGATTGGTATATATATGTATATAAACTTATTCTATCTTCTTACTCATTTTTGAGTCTCTTCCCACCACCCTTCCCCCTTTCTGTAAGCTCCTTTCCTATCTCCAAAAAGCCAGCTAAACTTTCTACTCACCAGCTGGGCTTCTCCATCACTTCCTGTGAACTAGTAATGTACTTGAGAGTAAAAACATATTAAACCTAGGTCTTAACCACTCTCATACCTGAGATCTATTCTCTTCATATGAATGCTTCCTTGGGTTGGTGGTACCTTCAAACAGTGTGTTTAATATTTTTCAGCTTTCTTAGATTTTCAGGAGGACAGTTGGATAAAAATATCTGGTTTAACATTTAATAGAATCAGGCAGTTCCACATGTTATTTTTTGAAGTGTACTTTTGTTTTTTGTTGTTTCTCCTGTGGCCAGTTAATCTAATGTTTGTATCAATAAGGTAAAATGTGTTTTGGAAATAATCTACCCAAACAGTGGAACTTCGGTGCC